TGCTGACCAAGCGCTTCCCCGCCGATGTCCCTATCACCTTGCGTCCTGCTGATCATCGACCGAGGTGGCAGCTCGCTGGTCAGCTGATGGGCTTTTCCGACATCGACTCTAAGGGGCGGCTCTGGGTCACCACCGCGGCGCTAGACTTGGTGGAGCCGCGCGACATCTTGCCTGCCGGGCAGCCTGGGTACCCTGGCCGTGCGCTGCTGCTTCTTTTTCTTTTAAGGCCACAACCGGCCCCCAAGGCGCTGCTCGAACCTTGCCGCTGTGTGGCGGCGGCTTCTGCCACGTTGCTGTGAGAGGCTTTGCCAAGAGGCAGCCGCCGCACTGGCGTGCCGGCGCTCTTCGGCTCGGTCGCTGCATCCAAGCTCGGCTCAAGGGTGGTTTGCGCCGTCCCCGGGCAAGCCGAGCCTTGGGCGCAGCTGCTGCAGTTCGCTTCTTGCTGCCAGCCGCGCTGGCGCCTGCAGCGGCGGAGGCCGCTGAAGCTGGAGCCATTGCTGCTTTTCGCTATGTTGAGAAAGAAACGCAGGCAGGTTGGCGAGATATAGGGGAACGAGGAATGACATAAACAAAAACTCGGAGGTCCGCGCGGATTTCTCGGATCCGCGCTGTACCCCCTTGGCGGCGCCTCCGGCGCCGCCCCTGGCGCGCTCCGCGCGCCAGGGAGGGGGGGTCCACATGGCGGCATCGCATGGACGGCGTCGCCGCTCTCTGCGCGCTTTCACGCCCGGCCACCCCGTGGCACCCCAGCGCGCTCAATGCTGCAGGTGCGCCGCGCGCGCTTCAGGACAAGGTGGCGGCCCCCACTCGCGAGTGGTCGGGGCGGGGGGAATTCGGGGACCTTGGCGGTCACATCGAGTGGCTGTGGCAGATTTATGCCTTACCTTTGAGCGCCCCACGTTCGATGTTCTCAAGCGTTGTATTCGTTTCCGAAGGAGTCAGGATGGGGCTTTTACCAGCCCTGTCCTCCACAGTTTCTAGGCCTCCCGGACCCCGCATTCGAATTCTTCATCGACCTGCCGGTCGACGTAGGGAAGGCCGCAGCGCGGCCCAAGCTCTGGACCACGGAGGCGTTTTCAAGCGAGCGCGATGGGGGGCATCGCCCCATCCAGCGCGTGAGCAGTCCTGCTCGGGTGCTTGGGTTCCGGGGCGCCCCAGGAAGCCTCCGGCAGCTGCGCGACAGGCTGAGCGCCCTCGGCCCTGTTGGTGGTCGACGGCAGGCCGTTCCAGCGACGAGCTGGCAAGGATTCACAGAGTAGCTCGGCAGAGTGAGGCTCAGCCGGAGGCCTCGCCAGCGCTTTGACTCTGATCGACCTTCAGGAGGCCTTCGAAAACGCGCGCTCTCGGCTTGTTTTGGCCGCCCGTCGATCGGGGCTTCTGCTGCGCCAGTTCGAATGCTGCTTGCCGAGCTACGTCCTTGTCCCAGGCTCCTCTCTCGCTTTGATGCGGTCCACTCTCCGCTTGAAACGCGTCTGGCCGTGCTGACATGCTGCCACTTTGCCGCCTTGATTTTGCGGCTGCTGTTGCTGCCTCCGCTTGACGCGGTTCGAGCGGCCTTTCCACAGGCGCATATTGGCTTATGTTGTTGACGACTTCGGTTTGCAGAGGCTCGGCCGTGAAACCGACGTAGCGGGCCAGCTAGTTGGGGGCACTAAGCTTGCGCGCGCCGAAAAGGGGACGGTGCGGGGGAGCGAGAGGGGCGGAGGGGCCGTGGGGCGCGAAGAGGAGGGGAGGAGCGAGGGGAGGGGGTGAGCCTTGTGCTTGTCTTCGTGGAAAGGTGGGGTCCATGGGGGGAGCGCGCGCGCGAACCGAAGGTTCCCCATCGGCAGGTTGTGCGCGCCGCCAAGGAAGGAGAGCGCACGGTGAACCTGCACGCCTCCAGCACAGCTGCGCCCAAGAAGCGAGGCCCAGAGTGCTCCGGGCGCGGGTCCGTAGCAAACCGTTCTCAGATCTGGGTTGCTAAAACTCAGTATCGTGTATCCGATCCCCATCCTCATCCCCATCCCCTTCGAGACCCCACGAAGTTACCCCTCCCCCCAGTTGGGGATACACCCTTCGAAACCCGAAGGGAACGGCCTGCATCCCCTCCTAAGGGGTAAATCGGCCAGTGGGGCCCAGACCACGCCTCTGGGGATGAGGATCGGGTAAACGATATTCAAAAACAACCTTGCAAACGCCAGCAAGCACGAAGATTCATTCTTTGGCGATGCGCAGTTCAATCCTTCCCGCCGCTGGAGTTCGGTGGTTCCCCGCCGCCTACCCTTCGGCACCAGCGCGCGCGCGGCGCGGGGGGGGGAGCCCAGCATTCAGCGCAGCACATCGCCGCGCAGGCAGTCCACCCTGGCCAGGCCCGCTGGCTTCCACGCTCGATCGCCCGGCGCGGTTTCGGTGGTTTGGTTCGGCGTCGTGCCAATTTTTACGGGCGTGGTTGGTTTTGTGTTGACGGTTCGATTCGGGTTATGTGTTCTCTCACTATATTTTTATATTTGCCTGTCTCTCGCCCACTCCTCCGTTATACAAGCATATACATAATACACCATATAAGATGCGTACACCACGCTACATGTGTATACATATGCATACACATGTTTATAAGTACGCGCGCGCGCGTATATCGTTTATGTTCCGGTATATATATATATATATATATATATATATATATATATATATATATATATATATATATATATATATATATAGGCCGGCGCACCCACCATGAACCCCCCTTTTCTCTTGGAAGATGCCAAGAAAAAAGGGGGGCGGCTGCGGTTGGAGTTTCGGGTGTCGCGTCGTGTTGTAGTGGTAGGATCTGGAGTACATGTGTGTGTGTTGGAGACGGAGGGAGCCTGTTGAGTATCGGGTGTTGTGTTGGAGAAGGAGGCTGTTGAGTACTGGGTGTTGTGTTGGAGACGGAGGGAGTTGAGTAGAAGGTTGTTTTCAAGTTCAGCTTGGGGAGGGAGCCTGTTGAGTATCGGGTGTTGTGTTGGAGAAGGAGGCTGTTGAGTACTGGGTGTTGTGTTGGAGACGGAGGGAGTTGAGTAGAAGGTTCTTTTCAAGTTCAGCTTGGGGAGGGAGCCTGTTGAGTATCGGGTGTTGTGTTGGAGAAGGAGGCTGTTGAGTACTGGGTGTTGTGTTGGAGACGGAGGGAGTTGAGTAGAAGGGAGCTCAACAAGTCTTCCAAAAAAGAGCCTCAAAAGTGAGTCCGAAAATCGTAGGAATCATATATAAATTCATATATAATCATGAGAAAGGGGGGTTCTTGGTGCAGCTTGGGGAGGGAGCCTGTTGAGTAGCGGGTGTTGTGTTGGAGAAGGAGGCTGTTGAGTACTGGGTGTTGTGTTGGAGACGAAGGGAGTTGAGTAGAAGGTTCTTTTCAAGTTCAGCTTAGGGAGGGAGCCTGTTGAGTATCGGGTGTTGTGTTGGAGAAGGAGGCTGTTGAGTATTGGGTGTTGTGTTGGAGACGGAGGGAGTTGAGTAGAAGGTTGTTTTGAAGTTCAGCTTGGGGAGGGAGCCTGTTGAGTATCGGGTGTTGTGTTGGAGAAGGAGGCTGTTGAGTACTGGGTGTTGTGTTGGAGACGGAGGGAGTTGAGTAGAAGGTTCTTTTCAAGTTCAGCTTGGGGAGGGAGCCTGTTGAGTATCGGGTGTTGTGTTGGAGAAGGAGGCTGTTGAGTAATTGGTGTTGTGTTGGAGACGGAGGGAGTTGAGTAGAAGGGAGCTCAACAAGTCTTCCAAAAAAGAGCCTCAAAAGTGAGTCCGAAAATCGTAGGAGTCATATGTAAAATCATATATAATCATGAGAAAGGGGGGTTCTTGGTGGGTGCGCAGGGCTATATATATATATATATATATATATATATATATCATACAAATATATGTGTGCCTCTGCATGTACATACATACGTACATTTGTGTGTGTATACACATACGCTTGTGGTTTTATTCTCTCTATATCTCCCATCCCCTCTCGCCAATGTTGTTCCCGCTGCAGCGCTGGCTTCATTTCAGTATCGGCGTTTTACTCCCGTCGGTCAGACTTAGCGCTCTTGCCCCAGCGCGGGCTGGATTGCTGGATCGGAGTCCTATCTCGTCGTTGTCACCCCCTTTTCCCATCCTCCACCTTCCTCTAGTCCTCCCGCTCGTCCTACTCCTGCTCCTGCTGTTGCGACTGCTCCTAAGCGTAAGCAATATTATCATCATCCTTTCTCATTGTCCTGCTCATCCGCCACCTGCTCATCCGCCACATCCTCATCCGCCTCCTCTTCCTTCGCCTTCCTTCCTCGAGCGTAAACAACGATGGGGTCCTCGTGGGGGTTCCAGCTCTATGCCCCCCCCGTCGGTGGATACACACATGTACGCTGAATGGGAGGGGATGGGTGGGAGGGGCAGGTTGTCATACCTGATGCGATCACACCTCGCTTGCCCTCTCTCTCTCTCTCGCACACTCTCTCTCTATATATATATGGATTGCTCTCTTTCTCTATCTCTTTTTCTCTCTCTCTCTCTCTCCCCTCTCTCTGTCACACCCCTCTCTCCCTTCTCCCTATGTGCATGCGTATATATGCATCGTTTCTGTCTCGTTTCTCCCACTGCTTCCATCACAGCTTGCGACCGAAGAACCAAGGCCGTCTTCACCGACATGGGCGCCTAAGTTGCCCGTTCACGGTCACGCGTAAGTGTCTCCAATCCCGTTGTTGGTTATCGGTGGCGGTTTCCGTCAGCCACCGCGTAAGGTCGTTATGCCATCTCGTGCAAAGCCCGTTCCCGCTCGTCGTTAATGTGATATCGTATCATTGTTTCTCACCTCTACATCATACATGTCAGACATGCGAATGTCCTCTTTCTCTCTCTCTCTATCTCTTGTTCTGTCTCCCTCTTTCTCTTGTCTCTCTCTCTCTCTGTCTTTCTCTCGTTATTTCCATCCTCTTCCTCCCCCTGCCTCTCTCTCTCTCTCTCTTTCACTGTCACTCTCTCTCCCTCTGTCACGCTGACTCTCGCCGCAGGAGGAAATGGCGACGAAGGATGAGCAGACCGCGCAGCAGCAGTACGAGACCTTCGTCAAGGACGCGGCCACTGGGTGACCAGCGCTGGGACGGGAGCGCGTACACCCTCCACTACTCGCTCTTTTCGCTTCCTCTCACTATATACCCTCAGCGTGTTGAAACACCCACTGAGTCAAGCATCGTTGATGCTGTATCCCCACAAGCCCATCCACCGGCGATGTCTGGGCGAGTTGCCTTGATCAAGGAAAGGCGTGAGGGTGCATTGGCACAGGGGTTTGCGAGGCGCAGAGTGTCTGGAATGACTCACCAAAGCCGTTGGACCGCAGTTACATTCCCGATGGGTGAGAACATTCCGCTGCCAGTTGTAAGCAACGGGGGGGAAGATATGTTGCTGGCAATTTGAAGCCTTGGGGTCCAGGATATGTCTTACAGATGTACGCCATCTAGCAGTTCTAAGCCAGGGCGGTTCTTTTTGATTGCAGATTCAGGCCTTGTGCATGCCAATCGCTGGCAGATCTGACCACTTTTTGGGGGGCCAGGGGATGCGGATCTGTTGCTGGCAGTTGTTGGTCAGGGGTGAGGATACGTTCTTTGCAGGCTGAGGACAGGGCGCTGAGCATATTCTGCTGGCTGCGAGCTGCTGCTTTCGGTTTTCGGCGCACCCAGGCGACGGCCATCAGCGGCCATGTGCGCCCGAGTCTGAAGGACTCGACCTCACGCTGTTTGTTCTGTGCAGGCACCCAAGCGAGTTTGCAGATCTGAGGTCTGTGAGATCCGGGCATCGCATTTTTTTCACCGGGCGTTTTCCCCTGGTTTCGGGCCCGGGGCCATCGCAGAGCGGTCTCGCTCGAAACATGCAGCAGAAAGGTAGAGTTTAGGGCTCCGTTCGGTTTTTGTTCCGCGATGCGGCAACTGTTCGCAACGTCGGATCTCGGGGATCCTCGCGAACCTGGCCCAACCGAGGGACATGGATCCTGCGCGGTGCCGCGACAGTGGCTGTTTTCCAGGGCCGAGGTTGACCAAACGTAAGAGTGACCCTTCACCGGAATGACCTTTGGTGCGGGCTCACGGGGGTCCCCCCGATCGTTGAGTGCGATGCGATAGCGGCTGCTTGCTCGCTTGGATCTGGCCACCTTGCGCTCCCATAATCCGCGCTTTGGGTGAGCGGCTCATCGATCAGAAAATAACCCCCAACCCGAATTACATGATGAAGACGTGGACTCACTTAGGTTCCCATCTTCGCATTAGGGGTGATGATTCTGGGCGGTATGGTCTGGCACATCTGCAAAAGAACCCCTATCCCTAATGTATCTGGCCCTCCTGACTTAGGTCCCCTCCCAAAGGATTAGGGGTCCTCTTTTGGTGAATCCGCGGTGTGTGTTTTTTCTGCGCGTCGGCCCTGCGCGCCAGCGGAGGCTCGCCCTTTGCCGCCCCTGGCCGCCGGGCCACCTCAAGGGAGGAGCAGGAGAGGACCGCAGGGCCACGAGCGGCACGAGCGGAAAATGCGACGTGCCTTCTCCCGCGCCGGTCCCCCCTCCTCCTCCTTCTCCTCCTCCTTCTCCTCCTCCTCCTGCCCCTCCTCCTCCTCCTCCTCCTCCTCCTCCTCCTCCTCCTCCTACTCCTACTCCTACTCCTACTCCTCCAACTCCTCCTCCTCCTTCTCCTCCTCCTCCTCCTCCTCCTCCTCCCTCCGTGGAAGCCGAAAAATCGGGGGTGGACAGAACCCCCACCCTGACACGTCGATTAGTGAATTGTATTTTGGTTTCTCGAGGGGGCGCCACGGCCGTCATTTTCCAGGCTTGCGCCCGCCAGATTTGGGCCCGAGGTTGTTTTCACCAAACCGCGTTTTGCTAACGGGGGGTCTGTCCATCCCCGACAAAAGGTGACTTTAACCTACACTCTCGGAGCACCGCGCGGATTTCCTGGATCGGCGCTGGGCCCCCCTGGCGGCGCCCCAGGCGCCGCCCCTGGCGTGCTCCGCGCGCCAGGGAGGGGGGCCGCAGCGGCCATGCAAGAAATCCGCGCGGAGCTCCGTAAGTTTAGGTTAAAGCCGCTTGTCGTTCCTCTAGAGCCGTTCCCCCCCATCGGCGTGTCGAACTGTGCGCATTGACTCCTCAACCAAGCAGGGACGCGTGCGTGCAGACATTGGCGGCGAGCGAGGGGGGGAGGTGAGAAGGAGAAGGCCTTCTCAGAGGGCGGCGGGGCTTCTCATTTGCCCTCCGACCTTCTGAGAAGTTTTGTATGTCTTCGGGGAAGGTGCAGGAAATGACCTAGAAGGCCAGGGGACTTCCGAGCCTTGCGAGAAGGCTCGCCTTTTCCCACTTCCACCCCCCAGGCACGCCGCCGAGAAAACGCCGTGGCTACCACGGTCTCCAGGGGTTCCCAGAATTTCACGGAGGGGCCCTGGGACACGGAAGGAGACGTGACATTCGCGTCAACGGAGCAAAGTTGTTTCGCAGGTTGCACCGGATTCTGGCCCCCGAGGCCAGGATCTTCTGCAAGAGATGCAAGATTCGCGCCCTCGAGGCCAGATTGAGTCGTGCTCCCGAGGTCAGAATCCTTGTTGCAAGTTGCGCCCGACTGGCGCTCCCGAGGCCAGCGTCCTCAGCAGAGGACGCCAGATGTGCGCTTCCGAGGCCGGAATCCTTGGTAAGTTGCGCCCGGCTCGCGCGCCCGAAGCAACCACCAAATGTAAATCAGGCTAGGCTCGCGTTACCGAAGCCAGGCTCCTTGGCACGTTGCGCTAGGCTCGCGCTCCCGAGGCCAGAACCCTTGGTAGATTGTGCCATGTTTGCGCCCCCGAGGCAAGAGCCGTTTGCAACATTCTCCAGACTCGCGCGCCCCAAGAATCTTTCTTGCAAATTGTACCAGGTTCACGTTTCTGGAGAACCGATACCGATCCTGGGGAGCGCTCCTTAGGTCACGATCCCGTGTAAATCACGCCAGGTTCGCGTCTCGAGGAGACACACAGCGCAATTCCAACATCGAAAAGTGGTTGCTGAGTAGTCGCCGTCGCATGATGTTCCCCAAAGTTTTCTAAACAGCGCCAGCACGTCCCAGGTCTCCAGTATGGCCAGCTTGTCATGGACGTGAAACTCTCTCGGGCCCTTATTGGCATTCGGCGTGACACCAGACTTCGTGCCATTTTGTTGTTCCACTCGGAACCTTGCCTTCCTCTCCCAGGAGGGGGGAGTGGGGCAATTTTGTGAATCTCTGTCACAGCCGCGCGGCCGATAAGATTACCGACCCACAAGCCCCTTCCCTTTGGAATCACAGCAATTCATGCTGTGCGTAGTTCTCATGTGCAGCCCACATTCTCTGCAATACCAACCTTGACGCTCCTGCGGGTTTCGGGCGCGTGCTTCACGCCCACACTCAGATCAATCAATCCTCTGATGTGCCCGTTGTGCACCAAGGTCCCAGTGCACTAGTCGCACTTCGCAAACACCAGGGTTCATACATCCGCTGGTAACTACCTGGGAGTGCTGCTTTTTCAAATGCGGAAATCTACACTGCAGATCCGCCGTGTGGGCCATTCTGTTGATCGACTCGGGGCATCTTGGGAGCCTCTGGAGGCCTTCCTGCAGATCGACGTTGTTGGTGTTCCTTGTGGCCTTCCCTACGACCGCCCTGGGAGCCCTCCTCCTGGGACCCTCTTGCGGCCTTCCTGCGACTCTGCTAGGTCCCCAGCACAGAGCGACCCCGTTCAGTGCGGTCTGGACCACGGCTGAAGGGCATTCGCGCCATCGGGCCATCGGGCCCGACAGGGTGGTATGCAACGAAACTGGCCCCACGAGTGGGGTGAAGGCGCCCCACAGCTATAGTACCTCCTCCTCCTCCTCCTCCTCCTCCTCCTCCTCCTCCTCCTCCTCCTCCTCCTCCATTACGCCTTTTGCGCGCTTCGCAGTCCCCCTTCCCTCCCCTCCCTCCGCCTGCCTTCCCCTGCCCTCTGGTCCACCTCCCCTCCCCTCCAATCCTCCTTCCTCAGCCTCCAGTCCCCTTTTTCCTGCCCTCCCCTCTAATCCCCCTTTCTCGGTCTCTGATTTCCTTCTCCCTCCCCTCTGATCCCCCTTCCACGACCTCCAACTCCCCTGTCCCTCCCCTCCCCTCCCCTTCACACTCCGTCTCTGGCTGGCGCCCAGGACACGAACACGGCCGTCCAGGCCCATCGGGGGGGAGGGGGGGGGCGCTGGCGGCCGGTGCGTCGCGGACGACATGCGTGGCGGCAGGGCTGGATCTAAACGCCATTTCCTGGACTTCGGCCGTGTTTTGTTCTTCCTTTGGGCAGGGAGGTACGGGAAAACGGGTGGAGCACAACGAAAAGCCAACCGACAACAAAACGAAAAACAACGCTTAGGTCCAGCCCTGTGTGGCGGCGTGTGTGGCCAGCCTTTCGTCGGCCCTCCTCGAAGGATATACCCAGCCTTGAGGGTCAGTGGAGACGGAGGTCAGCCAGGATTTTGCAGCGCCAGGGTTGCACCACCGACCCGGGCTTGCGCGCAGGATCCTGCAGGTTTTTGCAGGAACTTGCAAGGTCCGACGGACTCGAGTTTTCATTGATCCGTGTCAGTGCGACCCCGATTGAAGAAGACCAGCATCTTCAAGCACTAACCTTCGCAGGCCCGCGCGGATTTCTCAGAAGCGCACCAGGGGTGGCCTCAGGCGCGGATCCAAGGAACTCGTGCGGACTTCTGGCAGGTCATGTTTACGGCGTTTTGGGTGAGCCCGCTGATAGGGCTGCGGTACGGCAGGTTCGCGTCGTGCAGACCGGCGGCGACTCCAGCGCGTGCGTGCGTTTAAGGTTGAACGCCGCCCGTGGCCCAGAATCGGCCCATCCTTGAACGATCCAGCCTTTTTGAAAGGGCCGATCGTTTAAGTTTTAACGATCCCCACGGGGTCAGGAACCAGCGCTGGGTGGACACGACGCGAACCTGCCGTAGGGCATCACTGGTTCCAGCCTTTGGAGATATGGGGGAGGCACCCCTGTGCACAAGTTTCGTTCCCTGTCTGTCCGCTCTAAGCCGGCGGTCCTTCAGGAGCTCGCTGGCCTGCCTGCTCCCGATGCACGGCCCGCCCAGCATCTCTGCTGCTGCGCCTGTACCAGCGGTCAGACAGAGAGGAAACAGCCCCCTGAGAGGGGGTCAGAGAGCGTGGATGTGAACAACAAAATTTCCGGCTGGCATTGAATGCCGAATTCGCGGACTGGTTTTTCTGGTGCCACCCAGGGCAGACCCCCCTGCCGCCCCCAAGCATATATATATATATATATATATATATATATATATATATATATAACTTATATATATATATGTACATACGAGATTGCATTGGCATTTCGCGCCATGCGCTTTGTTCTGGACCCTCCCCGGCAAAGCAATAAATCATCGCTTGCTTCAGCGGGGGGGACCTCGAAGCCTGGACGGGCGACCAGTTCATTGTTCTGCTATCCCTGGTGCCTGCTGACACCGCGTTCGCCCGATGCGCTTGCACGCTTGTGCGCAGGATGTGGGGAGGAATGCTGATTTTTTCGCGCGCGAAGGTCCTTTGAGGAAGTAAGGAGCTCTCCCATGACTCGCCGAAGAAGTCGCAGTAGCTCCGAACAAATCGATTGTTGGTAGCTTCCTGGATGCCTGGAGGGCTCCAGGCACCCAGGAAGTGTTCGATCGTCGAACTTCGAATATCGATCCATTGCCTGTTTCTCTCGATCAAAGAGCTTAAACCTCTAGCCTCAAGCGTGGAACCAAGATCGTCGGGTCACCTCGATATACTTCGTAGGAAAACGCCGTCTGGGCGTTTTGGGGGCTCTTTTGGGCCGTCCTGGGGCCCTCTTGGGCCGTCCCGGAGCCTTGGGCCGTCTTGGGGAGCTGGGGCCCTCCAGTGGTCTTCTAAGGCATCTAGGGCCGTTGTGGGGGCTTCCAATGGCCTTCTTGGGGGTCTCCCGTGGCTTTCGTGGGTCTCTCTTGGGAGCCTTCTGGGGGCATCTTAAGCTTCTTGCGGGCAGTCTCGGGGCTCTCTCGGGCAGTCTTGGGGCCCTTTTGGGCCGTTTTCGGACCCTCTGGGGGGCATCTTGGGCCGTCTTGGGGCGATATCGGGGGCCCATCGGGCCGTCTTGGACGCTGCGAAGTCCCAAACAGCGGATATGTTTAACTCATACATTTTTCCCCGGGGACGGGACGATTGATGCTTCTTCGGGGCTCGCTTGTCAGACTCTTGGGGCGTCTTGGGGGCCTCTCGGGCCGTCTTCAGACCATCGAGGTTCCTCTTGGAGCGCTCTTGTGGTGCCTTGGGTCTTTCTTGCGCCTCTCTGATGACCCCTATGATCGCCTTGAGTCTGCTCACAGGGCCTGGCAAGGCGCCTTGGGAGGTCCCGAAGGGCCAGCGGACCTGTTCCATGGGCGTCCAGGGGGTCGCTGAGACGTCCGAAAGGGCGTTCAGGGCGTCCCCGGGGGGAATCCGGTTTAGGGGGGGAGGGCTCCCGGGTAATATATATATATATATATATATACACATGTGTGTATATATATATATGTGTATGTGTATGTGTATATGTATATGTATATGTATATGTATATGTATATGTATATGTATATGTATATGTACATATATATGTATGTATAGGTATATATATATGTATTTAATTATACACATATATATATATGTGCTCTCTGGTCGAGGAAGGGGGATCGAGGAGAAGGAGGGGCAGGAGGAGGCCCGAGCACGGTTCGGGCGAGGCTGTTGAAGCTTCCAGTGGCCTCCAGAGGGCTCTCTGGGCCTCCAGGGGGCCACCCCAGCACGAGCTCTCGATGGAGGGGGCTCCTGTGGGCGGGGCTTAATGGGTGTGCGGGTGGGGTGAGGGGGCGTGGGGAGTCCAGGGCGGGGACTTGTCGGTAGTTGCCGCCTGACGAGGGATCTTCGGGAAATCCGGCGGGGTGGATTCGGGTAGTTAGTAAATCACATCAGCTTCCGTTCGTCTTGTATTGAATGTCTATCGGCGGATAGCGCTCAATAGCGCGAGCCTTCTATTTCGGCGAAGTCCCCGTTTGCGTAAATCGTTGGCCGTCATGTACTCGGGTCGCATTGCAGCGACATCGGTGTAAATTTGGACATTTGCTTGGTGCATTGCAAAGGCGGTTATTCATTCATGCGGCTTACGTTATTCCGCCGACCCCTAGCGGGTTAGCCACGTCCAGGACGTTCGGTCGAGTATGTTGGAGCTGAAATGGCTGGTTGTTTGAATCACGCCCGCGAGGGTTCAACTCTCAGGGGCCTAGTGGGTCTCTGGCGGGCTCTTGGGGCCATGGGGGGAACGGCTCGAGATGTTAGTCCTTATTGTCCCCTTGGGCCTTTTCTTAGGGGCCCCTGAGGCCGGCTTGGGGCCCTCTTGGGCCCCCGTGGGGCTGTATTGGGCCGTCTTCGATGCGTTGGCGAGTTCGTGCCCCCCCACCCTTCACCCGAGATCTGAATTCTGGGCCTTTGGAGAGGGGGAGAGTGGGGGGAGGGGGAGAGCCAAATGTCTCCTTATCCTCGCCACCCTTTCTCCCGCGCCTCTCCGCCCTCCCTGCCCTCCTCCATCCCTTCCCTCCTCCCTCCTGGGATCGGACGTTGACGAGCTTTGCCTCAGCTGACTCAAGCGGTGTCTTAATTCAAGTTCGCTTCAAGCGACGACAGCAGGGGTGCCGCCCACAGACTCGCGCGCATCCCGACTAGAGCGCTTCCCCTCCTCGGGTCCAGTGGCTCGACGCGGAGGCCCGCCGACCCGGTGCCTTCAAAAGCACCAGTGCAAATCAAGCGGTTCCAGGGCTGGTTGAATCACATGTGGGGACACCAAACAGTGCCCCATGCCCCGACCAGGCCTACTCCGGATAATTCGGGTGCCCAAAGAACTCTGAGAGGCTCGCGGCCAGAAAAAGTGACAAGGGCCTGCCCTGGCCAGATTCTCCGGCCTCCCTGCGGTAGAACGAGGGCCAGCTTGGATTGGGGCACTGCTCGAACTAAACAGTTGTTTTTGTTTCGATGTTGTGGACCGTTTCCGTTTTAATGTCGTTTCGCACCAGAGGCGGAACGAAGACAGAACAAGGGAAAACGACACCAAAACGAAAACGGAAACGCTGTTTAGCTCGAGCCCTGTCAGGTCCCATGCGTCCCGGGCTGCTCGCCCCAGCCCGGGCCAGCCCTTGCAGCCGTGGCCACTTTCACCCCTGTGGAGCTTGCGGCTTACCTTTCTGCTGACCGCCTCGTGTCCAGCCGGCCCACGCCGATCGGCTCCCGCTCAGCACTGGCTCCTTGATAGCGCACGTCCAGCACGCATTTTGAGCTCCACGCACCCACGCCGCTCTCCATCGGTGTTCGCCCCCGATGAGACTGACAGTGAACCCCACCGGGGGCGACCCTCGACGGAGCGCACCTAAAGTGAGTCTGTGACTTCGGCTGCGCTCCGGCTCTTGCGCTCGAGCTCGGGTGGCCTGGATCCCTGCAGAACTACGACGGGCCCAGGAGGGCCGCCGCTGGTCCGAGGAATCGCGCGGCCAGTGCGCGCTGTCGAGCAGGCACGGGGACACACGCACTGCCGCGGGGGCCTGCGCCTTCTCGTGACGAGACGTGCGCGGCACCTGGCACGGCTGCCAAAGCAGGAGATCCGCACCAGCTTCCCTCCGGAAGGCCAGTCTTCTGGGCCTCCCAGATGGGGTCGGAGTAGATGGGCTCGGAGGATCGCGCCGCATCGCCGATGCATGGCCGAGGCGGCTCGATGTGGAGCCCGATGTGCTTCACGTCGACGTCCGCCGATGCATCGCCCGCGTTTCTGTGTTGTTGTTCACGTTTCATGGCTAAGCTCATCGTCTGCTGAGTCAACCTCTTCCAGGTTCTTTTGGGCTCGAGCCCTGATCCCATCTTCTGCAGAATTTTTCGAGTTGGATCGATCTGGGAGGGTCCCAGGGACCGAAGCATGGCATTATCGCCCGTCGCGAACAAATTGCGACGCCCCAGATCTCGGGGCCACCTGACCTTTCAAGCTGCGGGATCCCGCGTGCAGAAGCTTCCTGGCGTGCCCGGAGTGCCGGCCGCCGAACATCGAGCGGCGGCCCGCCAGGACAAGCAGCAGAGCCTCGTGAACAAGGGCGAGGTCCACGCGAAGGCGCCGCCTGGGGTCGCCGCCACGCAGCGGTTCCGTTCGAGCTCGTCCTTCAGAGCCTTGCTGCCCCCCATTTCCCTCCAATGCCCTTTCGCGTCACGAAGAAAACACGACGGATTTTCGATGTTCTGCTTCTGGGGGCCTTCGTGGGGCCTGGGGACCATCAAGAACGACTCAGGAGGAAAAGCTGGTCCCAGGGGTCCCAGGGAATAGGTCGAGACCTCTGCAGAATGGGTCGCTGACGCCCCTCTCCCAGAGAAGGAAAGGGCACCGATACTGCTCATGCGACCAAGCGATCAAGAAATGTTCGATGGGATCGCAGCGCCCCTGCCACCCATCACCCAATGCCAGTGGCACCAACAAGGGCACGAGTACTCCCGCCAGCGCTCTCCCCTCCCGCCCGTCCGCCACCCTGTCATTCCCGTCCGCATCCATTGTCCTTCCCCTACGACTGCCCCTCCCTCTCGCATAACAGGATGCCGCTCCTCATTCCTTTGAGGTGGTTTCATTCAGCATCGGCGCAGGTATATCCGTGGTTGAAACCTGCAGATCTTGCATAATCCCGTCTCGTTCCGCTTAATCTTGTTCAATTCAGTCTACTCGGGTTTGTTCCTGGGCGCAATCTGGGCTTATCCTGCTCAATGGCTTCTCGATCGGGCTTCATAGACTTTACTTCTTCTTACGACGACCTCCCAGGAGTGGCGTAGGGTTGATTCTCCCGAGTCGATTCAGTCGGCCCGATTCGCCTGGCTCGATTCGCCGAGTTTCACTTCGCATGGCTTGATTCGCCCGAATCGATTCGCCGAGTTTTGATTCGCCCAGCTCGATCCGCGCGGCTCGATCCGCGCGGCTCGATTCGCCGGGCTCGATTCGCTTGAGTCTCGATTCGCCCGGCTCGATTCGCCCCGCTCGATTCGCCGAGTATCGATTCGCCCAGCTCGATTCGCCCGGCCCGATTCGCCCGGGTCTCGATTCGCCGGGCTCGATTTGCTTAAGTCTCGATTCGCCCAGCTCGATTCGCCCCGCTCGATTCGCCGAGTATCGATTCGCCCGCCCTGCTCGATTCGCCGAGTATCGATTCGCCCAGCTCGATTCGCCCGGCTCGATTCGCCCGAGTCTCGATTCGCCAGGCTCGATTCGCCGATCCTCGATTCGCCCGGCTCGATTCGCTCGAGTCTCGATTCGCACGGGGCTCGATTCGACAGGCTCGAATCGCTTGAGTCTCGATTCGCCCAGCACGATCCGTCCTGGCTCGGTTCGTCCGGCTCGATTCGCCCGGGGCTCGATTCGCTCGATTCTCGATTCGCAGAGAACTTGATTCGCCCGGCTCGATTCGCCGTGCGCTCGAATCGCCTGGCTCGATTCGTTCAGGCTCAGTTCGTCCGAGTCTCGATTCGTCCAGCTCCGCCCGCCCGAGGCGATCCCCGTTAGGGTACGCCGGCCCGCCCGACCCGACCCGCCCGTGAGGGTCCGCCCGCCCGACCCGACACACCCGCCAGTTAGTGCTCGCGCGTGCTAATTCGATGATGCGTCCTACTTCAATGTGCTGCCAGCCGGATCCGACCCGCCCGTTAGTTAGGGTCAGCCCGCCCGACCCGACCCGCCCGTATTCGATGATACGTCGCACTGAAATGTCCTGCCCGCCCGACCCGACGCGCCCGCCAGGGTTCGCCCGCCCGACACGACCCGCCCGTTGGGGTACGCGGGCCCCCCCACGCGATTGGCCAGCACAGGGTATCGAGCACGGTGCGATAGAGCGTCGGCGGGAGCCGCCAGTGAGACACTGCGTGCGAGGGTCGATGTCATCAGGACGTGTGTTAGCTCAGTGTGTGTTCACCCTGCTCAGCTCCACCGGCAGCACACAGGTTGCGCCAGATCTCATTCTACAACGCCGCCTGCGTCGTACTGAAGGGCTCGAGTGGACAAGCACACGTTGGCGCTAACACGCGTTCGGAGGATCATCGAGAGGGTCGCCGAGCGGCCGACATTGGTAAGAACGAACCGCCGGTCCGGTTGCTCAGTTTGGCCTCTGGGGGCCCCCTCGGCGTTCTCTTGCAGCCCCCTTGGGCCGTCTTGGGGGCCCCTTCGAGCCGTCCCGCGGCCATCCTGGGCAGTCCTTGGCTCTCCCTGGGACCGTTTTGGCTTGGCGGCGTGGGCTCTCTGCCTCCGGCCGGCCGTCGCGCGCCCACGAGGCGAAGGGGAAGCTCATCGAGGTCGAGGGCGCCATCAGGCCGGCGCAGCCGCCGGGCGCCAGCACCAAGCAGTGGCGCGGCGTCTTGGCTCGCCTATGGGCCCATCAAAGAATGTTCTAAGAACCTTTTGTGGTCTGCACGAAATGTTATTAGAACATTTCTTGCTGGGACTGTCTTGTGTGAACGCATCGGGCTTGTTCTCTAAGAACGTTGTTCTTGTTCTTAGGACCTTTTTGGGTTCTAGGAACATGTCGTGGTAGGCCTATAGGAATGCCGGGACGGTAGGTCCCTGTTCAACTGCACCAGCCGCCCCCCGCCGTGCCTCCGAGGGCGATCGGGGGGGTCTGCGCAGGCCTGTCCGAGCAGGGTCAGATCGACGAGGGGTCCGCCTGCTCTCTGCGGGGGGGTCCACACGTGAGGCTGGGAAGATCATGCAGTGGCGCGCTCCTCCGCCCCCTCCCTTTCTCTTCCTGCACCTCCTCCCACCCATCCAGTTCATTCCTCCGTCGCCTCCGTTCTCCTCCTCGGTGCCTGTGCGTCACTCTTCCTCCCTCCCCTCGCGTCTCATCCTGCTCACATCATCCTCCCTCTTTGTTCTCCTCCCTACTCCCCCTCACTCTTCCTCCTGCTCCTCCGCCATGGTCAATGGAACATAGTCGAGGGGACCCAGGGACACATAAAGTAAATGCAAGCAAATCCAATGATTCCATGTATTTTCTCATATTTTCTGGAGTTTCGTCTTTCCCCCACTTCCCATAATTTCCTACATTGTCTTGGGAATCGACGCTTATTTGTGTCTGTATGTTTCTTTCCCTCCTGAATCGTGGAACTCCTGATCAACTCTCTGCTCAGACTTGTCGGCCCAGTGGCCAGAGCAATAGGAGGCACTGAGGGATCTGTCTTCAGCTGCATCCGGGACCACCACCCTGCCCTCTGCACTGATGCCCGTGGCCGTCCTTCCCAGGCCGGGGAAGAAGAAACGCAGGCCCGCCACCCTACTAAGTCGGTCCGCCCGCGGGCCTCTTTGCGTTCTGCGGAGGCCGGGGACGGCCGTTCCCCCCGCGCATCAGCTGACCCAGCGCGCCCGCCCCATAATCATTTGCATGCGAATTTCTGCTTCAGAGAAATCCCGAACGCTTCCAGAGGGAACGATTCTGCGGAGCCGGACCATGAGTGGTCACCAGCAAGTTTTTGAGATTTGCAGTTCGACACCGCCCACGGCGCTCGAGTTTCCTGGGACGCTTCCGCACGGAGACCAGACGGGGCTCGCGTGGGCGTTCCGCCAGGGTCAGATCGCACCCCCATGTGGGAAGGGCTGGTATGCGAAAGCATCTCCACCGAAGTGGTATTTATATACCAAACTTGAATCCAGGAAGGTCTTTGACACCTTCTCCCGCGGTCTTAGTCGATGACCGCCGGGGGTCTTGCGGCGCCCCGCGGCGCCATGGCCACCGCAATCTTAGCGTGGCAAAAACATGCGACGCAAGACGTCACCATGCAGCAAGAATGTGGGGTACCATAGGGGGCGCGTCGCATCTCGGACCCGACCAAATAGGTATAGTCGATCAAATATCCAATGGACAATACCTTTATTGGATCCAGACCCGGAGCCCATGGGCCGACCTCCTAGCTGAAAGGCGGCTACTATGTGTCCGTCGTTACCTGGCAGTTCTTCCAAACTCCTTATCTGGGCCGACCTCCTAGCTGAAAGGCGGCTATGTGTCCGTCGTTACCTGGCAGTTCTTCCAAACTCCTTATCTGGCTCAGGTCAGGTCCCGCTGCCTTGCTTCGAACACTGTGTCAAAGTTCATTCAGTCAGTGTCGCCAGGCCTTCAGGTTTCACTGTGTTCGATTGGTCGCTCCAGACATGCAACGCAGTCCGAACGGCAATCCTCGGACCGCCTGGAACGGCCGTCGTAGCATTGCCGAACCACTATTTCACTGTCGTCCCCTTTCCTATGGTTGCCATATATAACCCAGTCACACCACGATCGGAAGTTTGCATTCTCGAACGAACAGCTTAATAATTATCGTGCTTTTCGGTCCCTGTGGATTCCAGCAAACAACCCATCTCCTTTAGGGACACTAGGCTCCGAAAGCTGGCGCCGTGCAGAAACCGCTTTGCGCCGCTCTGTTTCCCGATGCGATCCGAAAGGTCTTCGCCGCCTTACAGTGGCATGTAGACGTGCACGGGAGTATTGTTATCGCACCCATCAGTGACCATCGTGCCTCTGTCAAGCTTGTCGAGCACCGTTGCGCTCTCGACGTCAGGCGCCGCGCTTGCGCGACGCCGGCGAGCGCCGAACCGCCCCGACATGCAACTGCGGTGGTGTCAACAGTCACGCTCGGGCCCCCTGCCCCCGCCAAGCGAATCGCAGCCCAGCAGTGGGAAGCCGCGGCCACATAAGCATTCTTCAGCCAAACGACGGATGTGGTGCTGTGGTCAAGCCTGGTCACAGGATGTTGGAAGGGTTTGGGACCGAGTTCCCCTGTCACCGAAGTCATCCCCTGGTGAAGCGCGCCGCGCGCTGGTTAATCCGAACACCTTCCAGCCTGATGTTGTCTCCAAGCTGAACTTTGATGGTCAACGTGGGCCCGGAATTGATTTCGCTTCCCGTCGACCAGCTGTTACTCGGGACTTTTGCCGGCATTTTCTCCATTTCGGCAAGGCCGAGCCCTGGGGCCCCAGCCGCCAGGAGGCGGAGCGTCCACTTTCGACTTCCGGTCGCAGGCGAAACTGGTGGGAAGCCGATCCTCACGCGACGTCGCGCGCCCTTGAAGTTTCGCCGATATCGGCAGCGGCCACCACGAGTCCACCTTAGTATACCGACATGAGGATCTCGCCTCTGTGTTCCGCATCAGGGAACATCGAGTGCACGATGGCCAGCGCGTCGAAATACTTCCCCTCATGTCCAACACTCTGGCCGGGGCGGAAGATCCATCGGAACTCCAGCCAGTCATGGGGGGATGCCTGGAGACCAGGTACGCGGGGTCGGAAACTTGCGGAACTCGCATCCCAATCAGATCAAAGCCACTCCAGCGCGGGCGGTTTCATCTTCGAGTCAGATTCGCTCTCAGGGAATAAGGAGCGTTTGGAACTTCGACTGTTCGTTCAGACTCACGGGGGCCACCCCGTCGGGCCCGGGCCAATCCTCCCCTCCCAGGATGGCCCGACCGCAGCGGCGCGAGACGCAGGCAGACGGCTCGACCCAGACATCAGGTCTGCCCGGTAATTGCTACGAGACCTCGACCCAACAGACAAACCGCACGCGTCTGCTATGCGCGCGGCGAATTGCTCGGCTGCCCCCCCGTTCCCGGCTGCGATTTCCGGCGCGCCTTTCGCTCCGGGCGATCCGCTCGGGGCTCCGTCTGTGGAGTCGGCGCTGCCTCCGGTCGCAGCGGGCGCGCTGGGTTGAAGCCTGGAGGTAGCGGGCGAGCCTCTGACAGTCGTCCGCTGGCTGCAGGACTGGGGTGGCCTGTTTCAGGGCGCCGCGTCGCGGCTCCACTGGTTTGCCAGGGGGGGCCGACGAGGCAGAGAGCGCGCCCCGCCTACTCTGCCTCCGCCGCGCCCTCCAGTCCCATCGCCGCCTGTTCGAGACAGTGCCTGGATCTGCAGGGAGAGGGCTTCGCCCCCCTCCCTCAAGGGGCCTCTCGGGGGGTCGGGCCGAGAAACGACGTTGCTGAGAGCCGTCTGGCAGCGATCGTCGCCGCCGCCCTTCGAGCGCGCGGTTCCAGCCAGGTCGCCCACGGGCCATCTCCCGTCGGCCCAGCGCCGCGAGCCGTCGTTGGCGATCGCGACCATCCTCGCGGGGGCGAGCCCTCGGGGGCCCTTCGACTGGCTGGCCCTCAAGGCGGGGGGGGCGCCAGCGTCGGAGGTGGAGGCCTCGGCGGGCCGCGTCGCTCTCGGCGCGGGCGCGCCCATCGCGACCGCGCGCGACGACGTCGCTGTCAACTCGGGGGTCGAGTTTGACGGGCGCGCGGCGCGAGGCGTCGCGAGCGGGTGGGTTCCGCGGCGCGCGCGGCCCCTGCATCTCGTCGGCAGCCGCCGCGCCCGCTCGCCGCCGCAGACGCCGCCGCTTCGGTGGCCGGCGCCCTCGCCGCGGCGAGCCCGGGGCTTGGCGCGCCCAGCCCTCGCGCCCCCCCGCCCCCGCTTGTGCGCGACCATCACCTTGCTCTCCTTGCCTTGATCGACGCTCGAGATCTGTCGACGCCTTCGAGCTCTGGCTCGGGGGGCGCAGCCGCATTGCTCCTGCCGCACTTTACCGCGCCGGGCTACTGCTGTTCTCCGAGGTCCTCGCCATCTTCGGCGCGTGGCTTCGCGACGCGGGCTCTCCGCGTTGCATGTTCGCGCGCGCCGTTCTGCACGCTCAAGCTGAGCGCCCTCGCTGGCTCGCCTTCCTTTAGGAAGCGTGGGATGCGGTCGGCAGCGGGAACTCGCCGAGCCTTTCGCGCTACGCCCGCCCGCGGCCCGCGCCCCCCTTCCAGGAGGTTTGTTCCTTCTTAGATCTAAGTTGCGGCCATGTTGCTTCTTGGATGTACATGGCCGTTCTTGATTCAAGATGCGCTTCTTGACGTAATCCCAGTAGGCGCCATTGTGGGCCGCGGTGCGATTTGGGGCTGGCCCATCACTGCTGCGCTGCTGCCGATGGGCATCGCCGCCCTGCAGGTGAACAGTTTGCAGCCTGCCGTTCTGACCTCTCGCTGCCAGGCGATCGTTTGGAAAGGCAGCGGCGACGTCGTTTCCTGCCGGAAAGGCGCCGAGCACCCGCCGCCGCACGCCCGCTGCTCTGATAGGTCGTCGGCAAGGCCCTTGGAATTAGTCTGCTGTTTTCTGTTTGCGATTTTCAGGGGCGTCGGATTTCCACGCGGCCACGGGAGACGGACCTCGCGTCTTCTGGCGGGGCCGCTGGAGCCAGGCCTCTAGCGCTGAGTGCCATCTCCGAGCCGCCCCGCCGTCTTGCCTGTTCTGTCCGCTCTTCCTTCTTCAGCCCGTGCGCGCGTTGCGCACTTCGCGTCTGCCAGCGACCGCCTTCTCGATTCTTTCCTTGCAATTGTCGGTCAACGCGAGTAACGGCCGCCCGCCGAAGTCTTGTCGCTGCGCATGGGTGTTAGGCATGGCCATAGCTGTTGGCGCACTTCTGCGCATGGGTGAGCTCCGTCGCCTAAGCGGCGGCGCCCGGCCCTCGCGCGCCCGGGATGCCCTGCCCCCCTCCGCGCGCGTCGGCCGCGGCCCCGCGCGACCGACGAGCGCTCGCAGGCTCCGCAGCGGGATGACTTGTGTTAGTCTCCCTTCTCCTCTGCGCCCCCCGGTCGTCGCAGCTGCTTGCCCCCGGGCCTTCTCCGCCCTCTTCCGTCAGGCTCGCCGAGGCTAGCCGCTGCTGCTGACGCACTTCTGCGCCTGGGCGATCTCCTTTGTCTGGGCGGCGGCGCTCGGCCCTAGCGCGCCCGGGGGGGCCCGGTCTTCCTCGGGCCCCCTTGCGCGCGCGGGGTCTGGGGGCTGGGGGGGTAACGTTTATGCGTCGCGATTTGCCGCGGCGCCAAAGATATCGTTCCGCCGAAGCTGCCCCCGCGGATTCTTTCTGCGAAAGCCTCGCGGCTGGCGCCGCCGACCCCGCAGGGGGGCGACGACGACGACGATGGCGACGTTGGCGCGGGTCAGGGTCCCCAGGGATACTGAAGCGTCTTCGGAGCGCTCTCGGAAGCCTCTGGGGGGCGGTTCTGGGGGGCCCTTGGGAGTTTCCTGGGGGTTGTTTGGGGGCCTCTTGAAGGCCTTTTGAAGCTTTTTGATGGCTTCTTGTGAGCCTCTTGGAGCCTCGTGGGGGTTTGGGGCCTCTTGGGGCCCTGTCTGGGCACCCTCTTGGAGCCCTCTTAGAGGGCCTCCTGGGCAGTTTTGCCGGCGTCTTGGGTCTTCATCGGGCCCCTCTTTGGCTTGTTTCGGCGGCCTCTTGGAGGCCTCCCGGGGCGATCGCTGGAGCCTCTTAGGCCGTTTTGGCGCGTCGGGAAGCTGAGAGCGAGAACGTTCAAATCTTTGAAAATCTCAAAAATGGAAATAGATAAACGGTGCGTCTGGGGGCTCTCTTGGGAGTACATTTGGAAGCCTATTGTGGCGTTTTCTTCCCTTCTTGGGCCGTGTGGAGGCCTTAAGGATGTCTTGGACCGATCATTCGGCGATTCGGGGTCCTCGTGGACCGTCTTGGGGGCCTCTTGATGCAGCATTGGCTCTTCTCTACACTTGTTGGGCCCTGGGTCCCTCCAGGGAGGGGTGGCATTTTGACCCGGGGGCCCTTCCCGGGACCCCCCTCGGGACCTTTCCATGAGATCACCCCCAGGACCCCCCCCCTTTCGTGGCGGGAAAGGGATCAAAAAGAGGGGGCCTTTCTTCGACTCAGTTGCGACGTTGCTCATTTGCATTTTGGCTGGCGCGCTTGAGGAGGAGGGCCCAGGAACAGGGGGGAGCGGCTACGGGCCCAGGGACAGGGGGGGAAGGGCGACGACGACGGCGACGACGACGACAGCGTCGACGAAGACGAGTTAAACATAACAGTCTCTTCCACACGCCGACAGGGTTGGCGGATTTTCACTTCGGCGCTGACAATCATCAAGGGGGTTCTTCATGGTTTCCCAGGGCTACATGCGCGCAAACTTCGTTACAAGTGCGCGCGCGTGTGTGTGTGCGTGTGTTGTTGTGTCTGTGTGTGTGTGTTCGTGTTGCGTGTGTGTGTGTGCACGTGCGTGTGTGTGTGTGTGTGTGTGTGTGTGTTTGTGTGTGTGTGAACGTCGAGGATATATGCAGTCGCTCGCACTTCCCCCGAGCGCGCAACCTTTTTTTCTGTTCCCCCCCATCGGGCCATTTTCGGCGGTAGTCAGTTGAGCGCGCTCCGCGAACGCCCTCGCTGCGTTGGAACAGCCAGCCGCGAAGGACACATGTGTGCGCGCCGGAGGTTCAGGCGCTGCATTGCCCCCGCGCTCCGCGGCGCGCGCGAGCTTGGACTTGCGCTCGCCCCGCCCGCGTACTTCCAGACGCGCGGACTGCAACCCAACGGCGTTCTGGAGGAACGCATTTGTGTGTGCGATTATTTTTCTGCTGCCGCTCTCCTGCCGCTCATCGCTGGTTGATCCATTTGCGCGGTGCAGTGGGGCGCGCATCAAGAAATTTGATGTCTTTCGTCAGGGCGCCTTCGGTTTCTTCGCGCCGCGCGTTGCGCGATGGGTTGCCGCGGCTGCCAAGAAAGCTTCGTGTCCAGGATCCTCTGGGCCCCCCCCCGGTTTCACTTCGGGCAATCAAGCGGCCCGCTACCGAAGAACCCCCCAGGCGCCAAAGGCTCCATGAGTTTATTGCATCCTTGCGACAATGCAGCACTCCCCGCGCGCGCGCCCTGGCCTGATAAGGCGCGCGTTGTCAGCGTTGGCTGTGCGTTGCCCAGAATACAGGAGTCGCTACGTTGGCCTGGAAATTAGAGCCAACCCTTAACGGTGACCTGTTGGATTCTGAACTCAACACGGGCTCTTGTGAATATTTTCTAATTATGGACAATGCAGCACTTCCCGCGCACGCGGGCGCGCGCGCGCGTACGCGCGCGCATGCGCGGGTACTCGCCGCGTGCGCAGGCCTGATACGGGCTGCATTTTTCAGAACAGGTTCTGTATCGTCCAGAATTGAAAAGTCGCCAATCTGGCGTGGACACTAAAGTCCACCCTTAACGGTGACCGATTGGATTGTGAAGTTAACGTGGGTTCTTGTGAACGTTATCTGTTGTTGGCAATGCAGCACTCCCCGCGCGCGCAGCGCGCGCGTATCCGCGCGTGCGCGCCGTGTGCCCTAGCCTGCTAAGGCTTGCACTGCCCGCGTAAGTAGGTTCTGTATTCTCCAGAATACAACAAGTCGCCATATTCGCTTGGAAACTAAAGTCAGCCTTTAACGGTGACCACTTAGATTTTGAAGTTAACATCGGCTCTTGCGAGTGTTTTCTCATGTGGGCAATGCAGCATTCTCCGCGCACGTGGGCGCGCGCGCGTATGCGCGCGTACGCGCCGTGTGCCCTGGCCGGACGAGGCTTGCGTTGCCAGCATCGGTTCTGAATTGTCCAGGATACAAAAGTCGCCATGTTGGCCTGGACACTAAAGGCAACCCTTGACGGTGACCGATTGCGTTTTGAAATTAGCGTGGGTTCTCGTGAATGTGGCGCAACCCCAGACAGGATGTGGCGCGGCGGGGGGTGCGGGGAAATTTCGCGGCCCGCCAATGCGCCTTCGGTTCCTTGGAACCATGGGACTGGCCCGTGGGCGTCAGCGGCGACGAGAGAATATGTTACGGGCTTTCGCGGGGCACCCGAGGATTTCCTTTGGCCACGGGGACGCTGCCGCAATCCAATGTAGTTTACATCCCAGATCGCCATGAGTTTTTCCCCTAGCCGTGCTGGCGTACTCTACGAGCGCGGCCTGCTAAGAAACTGCGCGGGCCAGGGCCCCCTGGGGTTTCTCCGGTCACGCCGTCGGTTAAGAAAAAACCCAAGCCCTGGGCAAGAAACTTCGCGGCTTTTCAGGGTTCGGTTTCTTGCGATGGTTTCTTGTGGCGGCGCCCCCACTGTAGGTTGTAGCCCGAGCTGACTCTCGCAGTGGTTACGCCACTCGGCCATTGGAGGAACAGCGCTTGCGTGCGTGTGTGTGTGTACTAACGTGTGCCACCTTTGCCCGTGGGGGGCTGGCCACTTCATGTGTTTCCGGCGTGCGCGCGTCGGCGTTTTCTTTGGACGGCGCGGCGCTGCGCCCGCCCGCGCAGACCGAAAGCGTGTGCGTGTATGTCCTTATGCGAAAAAGAGTCGTACGCGGGGGGGAGCGGGTATACCAACGCGCGGTCGAGGGATATGGGGGCACCTACAATAAACACTTGTTTGCACAGGCGAAGAGTTGTGATTGTTGAAAACATGTGATGAAAGTGCCGATCAAGGGCAATGCTAGGGAGAGATCGGCTCAGGAGGGAAGGGACATCAACCCCCAACCGCCCATCGATCACTGATACGGTCCCAATAGCGCACCCCGCCCTGGAACGTGCGGATTCGCTGTCGTCGTCGTATCGCCGATCTGTCGGCGATGTGTCGCCGACTTCGTGTCGATGTTTCCCTCTTTTTGGGCTGGCCCTCCCTGAGGATCACCCTCTTGGTAGACACACCCACGGACTGCGGAGTGCTTGGCGGGCAGGGGACATGAGAGCGGTTCCGCACGCTTTGGTTCTAGTCCCGCGCGCTGCCCAGTGAGTCCATCAAGGAGCTCGAGACGCTTGGCAATACGCGGGCCACGCTGAGACAGGATTGTTGGCCGCTGGGAAGCCAGCGGGTACTCGTCACCAACCAAACAAGTCTGATGTTCGGGCTTCTTGAATTTGGGCGGATCGAATGGGGAAGATGTAAGCGGGCAAGGTGGGAAGGCAGGAAGGGATGGAGAGGCAACGTGAATTTACCCAATAGGCTTACGCCACTCCGCCGTTTTCAGAGGAGGCGGGAAGTCCACGGGTGAGGCATCGTGGGCTTTGTATGTACTATTTGGGGGCTCTTCTGGGCGTTTTCGGAGCTGTTTTGGGGGCCTGGTGGGGCCTCTTGGAGACAGTCCTGAAACGTCATGGAGGCCATTTTGGGGTTTCTTTTGAGCCTCTTGGGGGCCTCGTTGGACTTGTCGGGGGCCTGTTTCGGACCGCCTGGGGGCTTCGTGGGTTTCAAAAGAAGCAAATGCCACACCCCTTCAAAAATCGATGGACAGTCAACTATGTTTGCCTTTTCGGGCCTTCCTGGAGGCCCTCTTGGAGGCATTTCGGACCGTCTTGGAGACCAGTTGGGGGCCTCTTTGACGGAGTGCGCAGACGACTCTTTTCTCAAGAGCCGAAAGGGCTGAGGAATCCACATTGCTGCATCAACTCGCTGCTGCACTGATGCCTTCAAACGTGCATGCTGCCTCGTGCGAACAACCGGTCACCGCTACGGATGTGCCACGCTACACAGCAACCGAGCAACCGGTCACCGCTACAGCTGTGCCACACTACACGACAACATGCATTCACAGTTACTTCAAATAGGCATGTGGGGCCAACACCCCTCCACACCAACAGGACTTAGCCTGTGCAGTGCCTTTTTTCCGCCACGCCTCTTTGAAGCTCTCTGCACTCGTGGCTTCTTCGAGCCATGGTGCCCCTGCTGTGCTCCTCAGCTATCTCCCTCTCACAAGGGTGTGTGGACACGCATGTCCACGCAGTGTCAGTGTGAAACTCGGTTGGCCTAACCGTACAACATCGAACGAAAGCTACGAACTACAATCATGCATGATATTATGTACACTCGTATTATAGCACGTGAATTGGTACCTAATATATGTATTACTAGTGCTAGCACTCACTGCTGCTATGGTGCACTCGTGCACCACTTGTTTCCGAAGTCTGCTCCATGACCCTCTCCAAGCGCCGTCCTCCACAGTGCGTACTCTTAGGCACGCTGCTGCGGCATGCTCTCCGGCACTCTCCCTCCAGGGTCCGTTCATCCAGGCATGCTCGCAGGCACGCTCTTGGGGCTTGCTCTCGGGCACGCTCCCTTCCAGACTCCCGTCGCTGAGTGCATGCTCACAGGCACGCTGTTTGGACGTGCTCTCCGGCACGCTGCCCATCCGCCACTCGTGGCAGAATAAATTTGCACATCTCGTGTGCAGCCCACGCAGGGCATTCCACAGCACGGACTCAAAGCGGACCGCTGCTGTCTAACTCTCGCGCAGCCCACGGGCTGCGGCAGACTGCGTAGCCAAAGATGCCAGAAGCAAAAATACTGCTACAGATGCTTCCCTGGACCTCTCTAAGCTCGAGCCCTCTCTCCTCCTCAGCGGCATCATCTCGATCAGCTCCTCGAGACGTGCCCTGGGGTGAATCTTAGTCCCAAGATCCGCCCAGTTGTACTTAGTACCTACCTTCTTCAATCCTCCCTGCCCTGTGCGGAAGAATTCTTGGACCCACAGGTCCTTCGTCGACAGGTGGCGGACACGGCCGCTCCCCTGCCTCTGACAGATGCCCCGGGCCGCGCTGCTGTCGCTCAGGATCTCCACCGAGACCGGGTGGCGAAGCACGGCCTCTAGCACCTGCCTGGTTTGGATCCCCATGGCTGTGCCTTTGATGATGGAATAGAACTCTGCCTCTCCACTGCTGAGTGCCAACATCTGCTGCTTACTTACAGACACGTCTAACAAATGATTACCGTACGTCTCACACGCACAACTTACACTCTTACGCGTCTCTGAATCTGCTGCCCAATCTGAATCCACATACTCAGTCAAAAGACGTGGATCCTTTTGGTACCTGTACTCCCAGATCTCGCCTGGGTGAGCTAGCAGATACCGGGCCGCCCTGTGCAAGCGCAGCTGGTGGGTGACAGTGGGGTTCGTCATCCCCTCCATGACCTGCGAGCTCGAGAACTTCACCGTCGGGACGTCCTCTGCGAGATACTGCAGGGTGCCTGCCGCGCTCCGGAAGAGGTTCGCGTCCTCCTTGCCGAGCGGATCCAGGGCATCCCTGCGGTTCTTCGCCGTGTCCTTCGACCCGGGCGTGTCTATGCCCTTGCTCGCGCCGGGAACTAGGCCCAGCAGGCCCACGAGGTCACGGATGTGTTGGATGTTGCCCTCCCACGTGAAGCCTTCGGGCGTCCACCGAATGACGCGCTTCAGGTGGCTGAGCTGCACAGCCTGGCCGCCGTACTCCGGGGGCCCTACACGAGGCAAGATGTTCACTTCGAAGTGCCTCTTCATGATGTCATCCAGAACATCAAGAGACCTCTCTTCACCTTCTGCGAGAAAATCGTCTCCGTGGCAGCATAACGATACATCCAACTCTGTGCTCACGAACGTCATCGGCACCACTGCCACCAAGTCAAAGCTCTCATCCTTGAACTTGTCAATGACATAGCTACCGAAGGCTCTGGATGCCGGCCGGGTGCCGTACATGGCTTTCTTCAGAGACCAAACGACCCCAGGCTTCCGAACATCCGGGGGCGGCACAACTACGGTTCGACCGTCTGAATCAGCATGGAAGAAAGCCACACTGATATCGTAGCCTGCAATCAGACGGCTCCAAGATCCATCCGACCGCTGCTTTGTAGCAGCCGCAGACACGATGGCCCGGAAGACCTTGATAGGAGGTGTGCTCTGTGTTACGTCTTCCCTTCAGTACGTATTTACTTCACATGCTACCAGCCGGGCTCTGACAGCCTTGGGGTCATCAGGCGTGGGTTTGGGCTCAAGGACCCACTTCGAGTTCACTACGTGTAGACCCTGCTGGCGGACTTCCTCCCAGGGGATGTCGTCCTTCACACCGAAGTTGTCGATCTGGGATAGCTCTTTTAGCTTACCCTGCAGCACCTTCTCTGGATCGAGCCGGACACCATCCTTCGTGGAATAGTACTCCTTGCTCATATCCATGTGCACAGGTAGCTCCTGCAGCACTGGCTCTGCGGCCTCCTGGGGCCGCTAGCAGGAAAGCCATTTCCATGCCGACTGGCACAGTTACCGTGTCCGGCTCGTGGAGCGTGGCCAGGGCAGCCACTCGCGCCTGCTTGTTCGCAGGCTCGCCCTCTACGGGTTGGTCCCCCTCCATATCATCATCGGCTGCCTCCCTCGGACGCGGTGCCTCCGGCATCTCCACATCCTCTGGTCTTTGGCCAGCTGCCGCACTCGCGGCCTCGCGGGCCGCAGGCGCAGGGTTAGCAGCCGAACTGGCCCCTTGGCGGGTCGCAGCGTTTCCTGTGCCCGTCGCGCTCGCTGCCTCTCGGGCCGCGGGCGCGCTGCCGGCAGCTGCCGGCAAGTTGCGTGCTTCTGGTTGCACAGGAGGAGGCTCTTCGAGGCGCAGGGCCTTCTCTTCTCGAGCCTTCTGCTGTCTCTCCTTCTCTTCCGCCACAAGGCGGGCAAACCGCTCTCGACACGCAGGTGTGTGGCGCACCTCCCCTGGGGCTCTGCACCCAGGACATCCTTCCGTGGCTTTGAATTTTATGATTCGCTCGATGGTGATGTACACATCTTTGGGCTTGACCTCCTTGACGCCTGGCGGCACGGGCTGCCAGGGGCTCCCGACGAACTGGTCTAGCAACGATGTCTGCCACCGCTGCGCCTCTGGCCTCCGCCAGATGCTCCGGCACGTAGTCACGCCCTTCTCGGTGCCTACCAAGTGCTCGTCTGCCCTCAGCGACTTACCAAGCCACACGCCGAGCGACCACCTATCGTCAGCCTTGCCCACAGCATCCGCCGGATGCTTGTGATGAACACATTCAGCAAACTCACATATTTCACCATTGTACGGCTTCTGTTTGAGCCGCTCATATGGTGTCTTCCCGTCCTCCTTGACAAGGAAACGTGTGAGCAGCCACCCTGCGTGCCTCACCAGCCATGGCTGTATCTTGTGAGACATCTCGAACGTTCTCCGGTACACCTTCTCCAATCGAGCCTTCAAAGCCCGATGCTGTTTCTCTACCTCGTAGTTCGAACGTTCGATGCTTCCGGCTGACTGGGACGAACCTTTCGGCGTGTTCTCCCGGAGGACAGTGATGCCCTTCTGCTTCGTCTCTACGAACTTGGCCACCAACGCGTTGATGGGGTTCTCACCGTCGTTCCTGACGATGAAATCACTCCGGCCACAGAAGCGCACCATCTCATGCATGCAACTCACAGCAAAGTCGTCGTCGCCCTTCCTCTGCACCATGTTCGGGAATGGTGCTCCGGATCGCTCGTCCAAGAGATTCAGCACCGCATACAGGAGATTGTCTTCCTCCCTCTTGGAGAGGAACAGGTAGTCGAGGCACAACTTGGGCAAGCCCTGCTGCTGCTCATCTGGTCGCTTCCGCCAGTGAGGGTCCTCTGCAGCCTTGCCAGTCACGCATGCCTCGCACCAGCTCCTGAACGGCAGGTGCGTCAGCTGATGCAGGTCCCATTCGGCCTTGCTGACCGTAGGTGGAATGGCCTTGGCTCGCGGCCTCCTGGCCTCCTCTGACTCCACCATCAGCATGGGCGACCGCGCGTCCACAACCCTTGGCTGCGGAGGCGGGCCGGCGACCTCAGGAGCCGCAGGCGCCGCTCCGGGTGCAGCTGCTGGCCCGGAGCTGCTGCTGCTGCTGCTGCCGCCCTCCTGGCGCGCTCCCGGTGGCGCGCTCTGTGGTTCGGGCGACTCTGTCGCACCGCCGGGCGGTACGTAGACCTTCTTTGCTGGCCTTGCAGGGCACAGAGGTCTGGCCTGCTGCTGCCCGTCGTCTTCGAAGAGATCTAACCAATAGACCCCCCTGTCCTTGACCAGGTCTACATCCCTGGCGGCCAGAGCTGCTTCTTGCAACTCACGGGCGTCTGCCGGCGCCACAACTCGTTGCACTCCAGGGCCGAAGACAATCCAGTTGCCGGCCTCTGTTGCCTCAGAAGCAGCCACAACCGGAATTTTCACCTGATCGCTCTCGTTGTACGTCAGTGTGATCGGCCTGCCATCGCTGGTCTGGTACTGCGACCTCTTGCCCGTCGTCAGCTGCACGTCCTCTCCTGTTGCCGTGGACAACCGCGACGGCCTCACAGAGCCATCGTCGGCAGCGTCTGGGTCGAAACCCGTGGGCAAAACGCTTCGGCCAGCGCCGGAATCTACCATCACCCTCCTGGACGGCAGTGGTGCCAGCGGCGCGTCGTCGCCGACCAGGGGCATGAGAAACCCATAGTCGCGCTCGTCATCACTGTCCGGCCTCACTAGGGCGCCCATCGTTGGGGCGGGCCGCACATGAGTTGATCCTGTGGCGGCGTCGTCTTGCGCGGCCTCTGGGGCCGCCGCAAGCTGCCGGTTCTTGTCGGCAGCCTTCTTGGGGCACTGTGCGCTCAGGTGCCCTGTTTTCTCGCAGTAAAAGCACTTGCGCGTCTCTGTGCCCTTACCTTTGCTTGCCTTACCCTTGCCGTCGCTCTTGCTTTTGCCCTTTCCGTCTCCTTTTCCTTTCCCTTTTCCGTCCCCTTTTCCTTTTCCTTTGTGGTCGCCTTTTCCTTTTCCTTCCTTTGCTTTGGGCCTGGGGAGCCCTCCGAGCTCCATAGGCCTGGCCTGTGAGTTGAGGTACTGTTCAGTGCGAGCCATGTCCAACAACTCGTCCTTCATCGCCTTCCACGTGTCCAGGCGGTTGGCATTCTTAACCAGGTGCTTCTGGACCTCCGGGTCTGTCATGTTCACCACGACAAGACCTAGCTTGAGATCGTCGTCGAACACCTTCTTGCTTTGCTGCTCGTACTCCCTGACCATCGTCTCGAACTGGTCCAGGGATTGAGGTATGTCACCTCCGAACGTAGCTGTCAAGATCTTGATCATCATGCCAACCCTGCGCGTGCGGACCTTGGGGTCCCAGTCGATGATGAATTGTCTCCAGGCCTCGAAACCTTCTCCAGAGCCCACTGTGTTCATTTTGTCTTGTGCCTTATCGCGACAAAGCATAACTAATATATAGTATAGCTGTGTTGACAACTGCTTCTCGTGTGGCTCTAGGTCTAGATTCCTAATGATACTCTCCTTATCAGAAGCGTGTTCTAACAGGTCAGAGTACCTAGCGTCGATGGCGGACATGTACGCTTTGAACACGAACGACCACTCTGGGAACTTCTCCCTGCTGCCGAAGAACATCTCCGGCTTACCGATAACTCTGGTATCGATGGCCGGTGGAAGCTGGCTGGGAGCAGCGGCCGCGGCTGCTGCGGCAGGCGCTGCCGGTTGCGGTTGCTGCTGCTGGGTCAGGGTGGTCACCACGCCCTGCAGCTCCGCCAGCTGTGCCTGCAGAACTCTCAGTTGCTCTTCTGCCGTCGCCATTGTGACGTCAGATGCTGTTGAACAGGTTGTCGACCTGTCTCTGCGCTAGCGTGTTCCTGGCAGCCTCGGACAGCGTGCGGCCGTCCTCCAAGCGCCCCGTCCTGCGGACGAACAGCTTGAACTTCTTCCTAGCCTGGCGCAGCCCAAAGGCCTCAGCGGACCTCGGGCGCTTGACGGCCTTCCTCCGCTTCTTCGGAGGAGCTCCGGCCTCTCCAGGGCCAGACGCTGCCGCCGTGCGCCGGGGCTGCGGCAAGGGGCGCGGCTCCTTCCCAGCCCTCGCTCGTTCGAGGCGCCAGGGAGCGCGGGCCAGGTACTCAGGTACTGGCCTCTCCGGCGCGGCCTCTGGGGCCGCTGGTGCAGGAGCCTCCTCTCGAGGCCCCGGGGGCGGTGTCGGCGACCGCGACGCCGACGTGGAAGAGGTAGATGACAGAGGCACCTGGGAGCCGTGGGACGCGCGAGCGAGCACTGGAAGCTCACGCATGCAACCACGGCTCCGCTACCATGACGGAGTGCGCAGACGACTCTTTTCTCAAGAGCCGAGAGGGCTGAGGAATCCACATTGCTGCATCAACTCGCTGCTGCACTGATGCCTTCAAACGTGCATGCTGCCTCGTGCGAACAACCGGTCACCGCTACGGATGTGCCACGCTACACAGCAACCGAACAACCGGTCACCGCTACAGCTGTGCCACACTACACGACAACATGCATTCACAGTTACTTCAAATAGGCATGTGGGGCCAACACTCTTGGGCCGTTTTTGGGCCATCTTAGAACCATCTGGGGCAGTTTTGATGGCCTCCTGGCCCGTCTGACGCCGTCGGAAGCCGGCTTGGGGGCCTCACTGGGCCGACTTGAGGCTCTCTTGGGATGCTCCAGGGCCGTTTGGGAGGCCATCTTGGGCGTCGTGGAGGCGGCCTCGGGGGCCATCTTGGAGGCCTCTTGGGCGATCTTGGGGCGATCTTTGGGGGCTCTTGGGAAGTCTCGGGCCGTCGGAAGGCCGAAAAGAAGCAAATGCCAAAGTCTTGCAAGAACCGCAGGAATATCAATAATTTTGGCCTCCTCGAACCTTCCTGGAGGACCTCTTGGAGGCCTCTTGGGCCGTCTTGGAGGCCTCTTGAGGACCTCTAGGGCCGTCTGCCGTCATCTTGAGGCCGTCTTGGAGGCTTCTTGGGCGAACTTGAAGGCATCTTGAACTCTCTTGGGCCTTCTTCGAGGCCATCTTGGAGCCATCTTTGAGCCATCTGGACCGGGAAAATGGTTGCAACCACCTCTTGCGGGTGGCCGGCGGGACGGGCCGAAGCACCAGGGGAGCGTCCCTTTGGATAAATAACCAAAACCAAACCTTAAGAACTTCAGCATGCCAGGCACCCCTGTGATAAATCAACAAGGGGGCGGCGGATAGTGGTGGTATTCAGCCCTGGAGCGAGGGTCAGTGTCCTCGGGGCTGCCTGTTGCCGAAAAAGGCCTTTCGAGAGAATCTGGAATTCTTGGGGCCCTTGGCGGCCGTCTTGGGGCTTTCTGGGGCCGTGTTCAAGGCCTCTTGGGACCCTCTTGGGTCTCTTTTGATACCTCTTTGGCCCTCCAGGCCCGTTTCGGGGCTCGTTTCTGGGCCGGAGAAGTCACGCGCGAAGACGCGTTGGTGGCGCGGCACGCCAGGAGTTTCGGAAGACTCAGAAATTGGGGGTCCAGGGCGACGGAGGATCAGAGGATTCTCTAACTCGTGCCTCGCAGCACGATGGCGGCAACTGTCTTCGTTAACAAGCGAACAACTAACACTCATGCCCATGATTAAGGGGGTCGGAGGGAGGAGGCCTGGTGAAGGGTTGTTGGGCCCCTGTGAAGGCTTCCGTTCGAGCGGGGACCCCCATCCGACAACATGCACCCATAGCCCCCTCCGTCCCCCCTAATTATGGGTACAGTAGGTTCGCGTCGTGTCGTCTGGCGGCGACCCCATTGCCGGCGTTCAAAGTTGAACGCCGCCGGCGACCCAGAATCGGTCGATGTCGAACGAGCTGACGCTTCGGAAACGGCCGATCGTTCAAGGTTGAACGAGTCCCGCGGTGTCAGGAACCAACGCCCAAGTCGGCACGATACGAACTTGTCGTACGGGCGTGTGTTGATCGTTCGTCACTTGCGTTCGGAAGTCAGGGCGTCTGGCACGGCGTTCTGTGTGCCGACTGCCATCTATGGGTTCTCTTGTCGGCGCGCCCCGTGCGCCAGGGCGACGGTGGCCGGCATCTTGTGATGTTGGACCTTCGTTTTGAAGAGACAGCGCCCCCCCTCTCCTCTCCTCTCCTCTTTTCTCCTCTCCACTCCTCTCCTGTACTCCTCTCCTCTTCTCTCCTCTCCTCTCCTCTCCTCTCCTGTACTTCTCTCCTCTCCTCTCCTCTCCTCTCCTCACCTCACCTCTCCTTCCTCCTCCTCCTCCTCCTCCCACCCTTGCCTCTGCCCTCCGCATGCCCACCATGTCATCGCACCCAGTACGGCGCTTAGCTGTGCACGCATGCGTCCCGCGCCACCACGCATGGCGTTCCGTGGTCCCATAAGAGCTCAACCGCATGCCCCAGTGTTTGTGATCACATGCGTCTTGCGCCACCCAATACGGCGTTTCGTGGCCCCACGGGGAGCTCCACCGAATGCCCCAGTGGTTGTGATCACATGCGTCCCGCGACACCCAGCACGGCGTTTCGTGGCCCCATACGGAGTTCCACCGAAGGCCATAGTTTCTGCGATCACATGCGTCCTGCGCCACACAGTACGGGTTCGTGGCCCCATGGGGAGCTCCACCGAGGGCCCCAGTGGTTGGGATCACAGGCGTCCCGCGACACCCAGTGCAGCGTTTCATGGACCCACTGGAAGTTCCACCAAAGGCCCCAGTGGCTGTGATCACGTGCGTTCCGCGCCACCACGCACGGCGCTTCGTGGCCCCATGGGGAGCTCCACCGGAGACCCCAGTGGTTGTGATCACATGCGTCCAGCGTCATCCAGCACGGTGTTCCGTGGCCCCACAGGGAGCTCCAACGAAGGCCCCAGTGGTTGTGATCACATGCGTCCCGCGTCACCCAGTACGGCGTTTCGTGGCCCCTTGAGGGGGCTCCACCGAAGGCCCCAGTGGTTGTGATCACATGCGTCCCGCGCCACCCAGTGCGGCGTTTCGTAACCCCAAAGGAAGCCCCACCAAAGGCCCCAATGGTTGTGATCACATGCACGCGTTTGATAACTCCATGCGGAGCTCCACCGAAGGCCCCGGTGGCGACGTTCGCATGACGGCCCAGCTCAATTACGGCACACCCCTCACACGTTTCGTGGCTCTATATGAAGCTCCACCGAAGGCCCAAGCGGCGACGTTCTCATGGCGGCCCCGCTCCAGTTCGGCACACCCTTTACACGCTTCGTGGCCCCAGAAGGAGATCCACCGACAGCGATAATTACCCACAACGGCAATATTTACAACTGCGGATGGCTGGACCCTCCGTCACGATCTGTTTTTGTGAGCGGAAGTCAGGACATCCCAGCCGGGCCCACGAGGGCCCAAAGACGGTCTCATGAGAGTTCAAGACGGCAATCGGAGGCTGCAAAGCGGGCCTACGATGGCCCCAAGACGGCCCAAGCTTCCCAAGACGGCCCAAGAGTTTCCCATGACGGCCCAGAATGTACCTAGTAAGCGAGATTTCCCACGACGGCTTGACGAGGCAAACCAATATTGATGTTCTTGCGGTTTTTCATTGTTGTTTGGGTTCTCTCCTTTTCAGTCCCAGATTGGCCGAAGACGGCTCTGAGGGCCTCCGAAACGAGAAGGAGGAGGGGGAAGTTGAGAAGGAGGATGAGGAAGAGCAGAAGGAGGAGGAGGAGGAGGTGGACGACGACGACGGGGATGAGGGCGAAGACAAGGAGGAGAAAAAGGACAATGACATTCACGATAACGATTATCAGGATAAGGAGGAGGAGGACGAGGACGAGGACGAACAGGGTCTCGGGGTCCTCGTGGGGCTCTTTTTGCAGGTCTCGCGGCCCTCTTGAGTGGGAGCCCTGGAGGGCCTCTTTGGGCCATTGTGAAGGGCGTCGGTGAACAGAAGGGGGTGCGAAGTGCGAACGTTTGGTCCCTCCCTTGGTTCCTTCGAACTCGCATCTCGGGGCTCTCTTGGGGCGCTCTTGGGCCCCTCTTGGCCCTCTCTTGGGCCATCTTGGGGCCATATTGAAGCCTCAAAAGCGCGTCGGGAGCGAAACAGCGAGACGGCAAAAATCATTGACTTTCCGTATGTGTTTGAAGGATGTTGGCTCTTCGGGGGTCCTGAAGGGGGTTCCGGGCTTGGAACCGTCGTGTAAACATCGTTGGGCCTTTTGGAGGTATGTCGGAAACAATTCTGAACCATCGTCGTCTACTTTGAGCCATTTGAGGCCATCTTGGAACAGCGGACGCCCTCTTCGAGCCATCTTGGGCCATCTTGGATCTTGGGCGACCTGACCGAACGCGACCGGCCCCACAACAAAATCTGGGAGGTGGGGAGGTAGACCTCCCCGAAGGGAAGAGGTTTTCAGAAGAGCAAAAAAGAACTCGCTAGACCACCTTCGCCCAAAGGGTCGGTGGAATTAGGGGTGATAGATCGAGGACCTACCTCTGGTCACGGCCGTAGGGGAGCCTGTCACAACGCCGTGTGGCTCGATTATCTGAGTCTTCGGAGGTCATGCGGTGAGATGTCTTGAAGGATTTGTCGGTAAATTAGTCATAAGTCAGGACGTCGTCAAGCTCTGTTTTGAGGAACTGACCTTTATATATTTGGTCCTGCGCCCTCTTGTCCCCACTCAGGATTGCG